CTCTCTCTCTCTCTCTCTCTCTCTCTCTCTCTCTCTCTCTCTCTCTCCTCACCACCTGTCTCTTGCCCTCCTTATGTAATTAATTTATCATGACACCAGCTTTCTTTGTCTCCCAGAGAGGTAAATAAGTCTGTTTTTTTTTTTTTTACATCACTGGGAAGCTTTATATTCCTTTGAATCTTTAAATATGAAGCTCAACTTAGCCAAATGAATCTCACAGATCCCTGCATTGTAAGCCATATCAAAGCTGAGCAAGTTCTGATGCTCCCTCTTTGGATACTGAATCATTGTCATAATTAGTATTAAAATTGCCAATTCTGCTTTGCACTGTCTAAATGGTAACAAATAGAGATAGACATTCTCTTTGCAATTATTTCTTTTTAAGAACTTAGTTTTTTCTGGTATTGATTAGTGAAATGAAATCACAAATTCCCATGGTAAGGAGTTTATCTATAAACAGCAAAGAATAAAGAATTAATCTCCTTGGGAACCATTTTTTAGAGGGAGAATATAGTCTCCTTGAAGGCTGATTGAGTGTAGATTATCTGATCTTTTAGAAACCATTGTAGTTTTTGTCAAACAAGCTCAATGCATTCTTATTAATGAATAAATAAAGAAATTAGTTTTAAAGATGTAAATTTGTTTTAGAAAAAAAGTTTATTCAGTGACTTGAGCAGTTGCCATCATCCTAAAGCAAAGACAAATTAAATATATTAAAATATGTATGCATACATTCATAGGCTTATATATATTTGTATTTAATTTTTGGGTAATTCCTTGGCCCTAGTTTTTCTTATATTTTATTAAAGACCCGAATCAGCTCTTTTAAAAGTCATAATCTATCATGAAAGAAAGCAAAACAAGTGCAATTTAGCAATCAGTTCCCCAAAAAGCTGTGGTCCCTGGCTACATGCACAGTGTAACAACTGAACTAACAAGGTTGGTCCTACCAGTATCCAGTTTGTATGCTCAGATAAGCATTCATATCTGACACTCCTGATGGATGTGACCAAGAGAAAAGAATGGAGGAAAATCAATAGCTCCACCTTATTTGAGTCTAGCCTGATGAGATGTTACCATACAGTATTTTGAAAGGATGGGAAAAAATGATTTGCTTGAGAAGGTAGAGTCAAGTGAAGGCAGGCTTGTAGGATAAAGGAGATGATGTACTAAACAGAAGCTCCTACCTCATGCCCCTACTCAAAGCTTTAATTACTTTTTAAAACATCTGTAAAATCAAGACCATGTCATCTGTCCATCCATCTGTCATAACCTACTTTGTCACACACAGCTGTTGACTCTATTACATTGTTTGTGGCAAGGGTATTACAGGTGTTTGCACATGTTCGAACTGATCAAATATTAAATATTTGTACTTCGTTGTTTATAAATTATACCTTAGTAAGCCTATTACAATTAATTTAGTTTAAAACAAGATGATATTCATTAATGTACTTTCTTGAAGCTTCATATGTGTTCTCAGAATTTTCCCATATTGTTTCTAAGAGTTTCTTTTTTATTTGTTCTTTTTAGTTATACATGACAGTAAAGTATATTTTGATATATTTATACATACATGAAGAAATCTTATTCCAATTGGTATACAAGTCTTGTGGTTGTACATGGTATATGGATTCACTGTGGTGTATTCATTTATATACATAGGAAAGCTATGCTAAAATCATTCCACTGTCTTTCTGTCTCCCCTCCTTTCCCTTCATTCCCCTTTGTCTAATCCACTGCACTGCTTTGAAACTATCATGGATGCTTTTTTGGTTAATGTTTCCTCCACTTGGAATAATTGTTCTAAAATTCCCACTTATAAGTTTTTTCAAAATTTTCTCATTCTTCAAGGAACAAGGGAAATGCCATTACTTGGATATAGATTTCCCTTTTTCACATCCATCCCCCAAATGCAGTTAAATGTGAATTTAACCATCTCTTACTTAAAGTTTTATTAACTCTACTTCATGAAATTATATCATGTTTCTACCATGAACTGCATATATAACCTTTGGAAGTAGGCTTATGTATTTTATCTAGTTAAAAAGAAACGCTTTAAGGTAGAGTTTGCGTTGACTTGCTTTCTGTGTCTTACAGTGCCTAAAAAATGATCCACACATAAAAACTGATGAAACAAATGTTTTCCAAATAAACAATTTTCCATATTCTCAACTACTTCTTATTATCTGTAAAATGAGTTCAATTGTAAGATATTCAACTATAAGTCTAGTAAGTTAATTGCCTCTTGAGATTTGCATATTAGTCTGTGGCTTTGTATTACTTCATGATTTTGTTTTCTCCAGACAGATAATTTCATAAATACTCTTCTTGCAGTGTTCTTTGGAAAATCTAAGAATGTAATAACTGTTGACTTATTTAGTATACTATATCCATCTTCATAAACTTTTAAACTGATACATTGACCATATTGAAAAATTTATCATATTTTGGTGAATTGTCAAAATTCCCCTTTTCATTGAGCAAAGGAAGACACAGCTGAGACTCAATGGTGGTACAAGGTATTTAGAGCTGGTATCTCTTCTGACAGCTAGGCCTGTGCCTGACTGACATAGGGTTGTGTCCTGTTAGCTGTTTGGGTGTTTGCCTAGGAAGGTAGGGGTATATTGTATTTTTTATAATTAAATATTTATTTTCCAGGAATAATGGATGCTTGACTTTTGAAGAAGCTTGGGTGATTAGTACAAACTGTGATCTCAAAATGAACATGACCAGTCATAAGAATATGAGTATAATACTAAGCAACCATGTGTATCAGCCAAGGAAACAAGAAGGTGAAAGAAACCTTACATAATGGGAATAAAAATCTTTGCTGACAACTAATCTGATGGGATTAATATCCAGATTATATTAACTAAAAAAAAACCCAAATAACCAAATCAATAAATGGGCAAATGAATCAAACAGACATTTCTCAAAAGAAGTAAGTCAAATAACCAATAGATACATTTAAAAAATATTCAGTATCTTTAGTAATCAAGTAAATGAAAATCAAAA